GCAGCTGGTTGATGTTTCTCATTGACGCTTCTAGCTCTCCATCTCTCTCTCTTTCTCTCTGTTAAAAATCAATAAAATATATTTTAAAATATATATATATATATATATATATATATATATATATTATTGATTTTTCACAGAGAGGAAGGGAGAGGGATAGAGAGCTAGAAACATCGATGAGAGAGAAACATCAACCAGCTGCCTCCTGCACACCCCCCACTGGGGATGTGCCCGCAACCAATGTACATGCCCTTGACCGGAATGGAACCTGGGACCTTTCAGACCGCAGACCGACGCTCTATCCACTGAGCCAAACCAGTTTCGGCAATCAAAATATTTTTTTAAATAATAAAAATAAATAAAATTCACCTTAAAAATAAAAACAAAGGGAAGGGAGTAGATATCTGCTGGAGAAGGAGGTGGGTTCCTGGTTCTCAGAAAGCGATCTCTATGCGGGGTGTGTATGTGTGTGTGTGTGTGTGTGTGTGTGTGTGTGTGTGTCTGTGGGGGCTGTGCTGGGATTTCAGCCTGAGAAGTCACTGCTTCCTCAAGAAGTCTTCTTTGACCCCCAGTCTGGGTTAAGGCTCCTGGCTACAAGCTTTCTTAACTCTCCGACTGCTCCTTTAGGGCATTGCCAGAGTTTCTAATTGTCCACTTAGTTGTTAGTTTTTGATGAATAAATACATGCCTTCCCCAGGGGACCGTGAGCACCAAGAGGGCAGAAACCAGGGTTGTTTTTACTCATCAACACAACATGACTGGTACACTGCGGATGTACAATAAATATTTGTTGAATAAATAAATGAGTGACATTCAAAGGGAGTTCTTAGGTGGGGATTTAATGAGTGGTGTCAGTGGCATTGCCGGGGATCTGGGGACAGCTGTGAGTCCAGATGTCCCGGCTTCTGCTCAGGGCCCGATCCACATCCAGCCTCTGGTCTTGTGCCCAAAGGCTGTCCAAGCAAAAGGAGGCAGAAGAGGCCTCTCCTAGAGGGAGGTGGCACGGAGGGGCATTAGGGCGGTTTGGATACCGAAGCTCCTCCCTGCTCTTCTTTTCTCCAAACTGAGTGTTTTAAAGCACTTCCCCCCGCTGCCCCCTACCCTCTCTCATCTGGGGAAAATGTTCCTTTCCCCTGGCAACGAGCCCCTTTCTTATCTTCTCCCCCTGCCTCGAGCTGGTGTGAGAGCTTGAACAGCACTCTCTCTTACCTGGCAGAGCCCCCAGGAAGAGCCGGCCCTGGGGGTGGGCCCAGAGGCTGAGGAGGGAGTCAAGGCCCACAGGAGGCAGAACGAGGCTCGTCTTCTTTGGCCCCTGGGTCAAGAGCGCCTGGGACACATCCAGCTTCAGCTGAAGAGGGAGGCCCAAGACCAGGGGCAGATCCAGCCCTGGCCCCGACCCATAAGACAGCACCACCTTCTGCAGAGGGGGTGGGACAGCCACATACAGTGAGTGAGGGAGGAGAGAAGGAGCCACACCTACTCCTGTGGCCCAGCTTCCTAACTGCCTGCGTTCTGCCCCTTAGCCACACCTCCTACCTACTGGCCATTCCCACTCCCAAACCCAGCTTCCATTCTGCCGGCTTGACCTTCCACAAAGCCACCCCCGCCCCAAGTCAATAATACAATCTAAATAAAAGCTGTTTGTGGCCCTGGCTGGGTGCTCAGACACCAAGGTTGTGGGTTCAATAACCGGTCAGCGCAAGAATCAACCAATGAACGCACAGACAAATTGACGTTTCTCTTCCTATCTCTCGCTCTCTCCACCCCTTCCTCTCTCTCTCTCTAAAAAAAGTCAATAATAAAGAAAAAGAAACAACCAATGAATCCACGAATAAGTGGAACGACAAATCAATATTTCTCTGCCTTAAAAAAAATCAATGAATAAACATTTTAAAAATAAATAAAAGCTGTCTGCGTGGTGTCCCCAACTTTAAGATATGTCCCTTCTTAACATTGACATTTTGAAGTCCCCTTCCCTCCACTGCTACCAGGTGCCACCTCAGGCAGTGCCCCTTCTTACTTGATCTCGGAGTTGGAGGCTGAGCCAAGAAGGGTTTTCTGGGGTCCCCAGGGCAAGGAGGTGGCCAGAGCCTGCTGCCTGCTGGAGTCCCAGGTGCACAGAGAAGGCCCAGGGCTCCACATGAGGCTGAGGGATATCTGGGGGGAGAAAGGAGCCTCCTGAGGCCTCAGGCTAGGGATTCGTGGAGGGAGGGGGACAGCGGTGGAAGGAGATGGAGGAAGGCAAATACAGAGGTGGCCACGGAGGGGGAAAACAGCCTTTACCTTGGAGCCTGAACTCTGCACGAGTTCCTGAAGGGAAAAATATCCCCGGCTGGGACTCTCCGGTGCAGTTCCTGAGGCTAGTGGGGGCAGACACTGAGATCTGGGCCTGTGGGTCCAGCCAGCTATCCCTGCGCAGGCAGGCATCCAGGGCAGGTACCATCTGGAGCCCGTGGTGGGAAGGGAAGACACAGGATGTCAGAATTAGGACACCTGAGCCCAGTCCCAGCTTCCCCAACTCTCAGTTCATGCCCCTCCAACACACAAGCATGTGGCCTCCCCGATGCAACTCCTATCCCGTCCGCTCTTCTCAGAAATGTAGACTCAAATCCCCATGGCCACTCAGTCAGCAAGGCTTTACCAGCTTGGGCCACGGCTCCCACCCTGGCAGTGCGGTTACCGGCAGCCGGAGGCTGGAGGCAGGGAACAGCAGGCCCCCAAGAGCAATCCTCATGACGGGCTGCGGCTTTTTGGCCAGAGGCCCAGAGACCTGTCTCAGGTGCAGCACCACCTCCTCATCCACCCCCAGCAGCACCGAGTCCCCAAGGATCTTCACTTCCACCTGCGGAAAGGGGGAGCGAAGCAGAACCAGAAACCTCTGAGGCCCACCTCCACTCATTTCTTCAGAGTCAGCCAGCTATCGTGGAAAGAACGTGCCCGTGAGGAGCCTGCTAGATCCTTGGCTCGCTTAGGACTTGTTACCCATCTACTGACTCAGCTTTGGAATTCCCGTTTGAAGTGATCGGGGTTTTGTGCGGAGTAAACCAGATGACAATGGTAACGGAACGCCCGTCCAGTGACTTGATTCTGCTCCCCTTACTCAGACCAGCTCAAGACACCCTTCCCCTCAGGGCCAGATTGGGCTTACCTTGTGCCATTTCCCATCATCCAGCCGGGGTCCGGCGCCCACTGTGAACTGGGCCCAGGGGTTGTGCAGTTGGATCTCAGGCCTGCCGTCTCGAAGTCCCAGCACAAACCAGTCATCCTTTGGGTTGGTATCGCCATAAAAGAGCACTCCCTCTGAATCCCAGGTTCGAAACTCAAAGGAGGAGGAGCTTCTGGAAGGACACAGAAGGAAGGACTGTGTATGGGGTATGTCTTTGAAGGCCTATGTGGGCTTGGGGAGGTGAGGCGGTAAGGGAGAGAGAAGGACCATGAGATAAGGAGAAGAGAAGAGCTGATGGAGATGGTAGGTCAGGGGACTAGGTCAAGACTAGGTCAACCCCATACTTTTTTATCTTGGTGAGGTTAAAGATCATGACAGAGACAGGCTCTTGTCCGGGGCCATTGCTGAGGTGCACAGCAGGAGGGTCCTGGATCCCCTATCAGAGAAAGAAAATAAACAAGCTGGAATAAGGACATGCCAGAGACAGACAGAGGAGAGGCAGAGTTACAGGGCCAGAGGAGGAAAGACAGAAAGAGGGAAGCTCCTGGAAGCACATGGGCTGGTTACCCTGTGCTGTTCCTGCACCTGGGTTGGGGGAATCTGTCTCAGAGCCCGTCCCCGGTGGTTATGAGATGGTGGCGGCAGCAGCAGCAGCAGCAGCAGTAACCAACACGATTTGGCCAGAGGGCCTCTGCACTCCATAATCAGCCCAACTCCTCTCTGTGGCTCGGACAACTCTGGTGAGAATGCGTAAGAGCGGGCAGCCTTACCCAGTGTGGATGGGAGGTTAAAGGTTGCCCCGGGGGCGGGGGGGGGGGGAAAGGACAGGTGCTGGAGACAGGGGTATTGACCCTACCATCCTTCTGAGGGGCCAAATGAGGTAAGGAACAAAGTTCCCACTACCCTCCCCCACTGCTGAGTAAGTCTGAGCTGGGAGTTGGCATCCCATTCTCCCTCTCCTCTACAGCCTAACCTGGGTCCCCCAAGCCTTCTGCCCGCCCGGTGAGGCTGCCGGGACAGGCCTGAGCGTAGAAACAGCCCCGTCCCGCTCCTCACCCAGCATCCCAGCGAGGACTAGAGCCCCGATGCGGAATCCCAAGTACCTAGCGAAGTGACTGCGGGCAGGTCCCTCTGCAGGGGTGCCTTAGTGTCCTTGTCTATAAAATGTGAACAATAATGCCTACTCTAGGCCGCTACTGTGCGTGAGGATTCATTGAGACAATGCAGGCACAGTGCCTGGTATCTGCTCAGGGCCTCCCTCGCTGTTTTCCCAGGCCTCGGAGGCTGGCCTCAGAAGGAGGTATTGTCTCCTAGTGTGATTTAGTGGCTACTAAATTATCTTCTTTGATTCACTTGTTACAAGGCCTAAAACCATCTACACAACAGGAGTTCATCACCCTTTCCCTGACCATTTAAACATACAAATGGCATCAGAAAAGCCACCCTAGAGCCATAGTTATAAGGTACAGAGGATAATCACGGCCCACTGGGTGGGGGGAATCTGTCTCAGAGCCTGTCCCTGGTGGTTATGAGATGGTGGTGGCAGCAGCAGCAGCAGCAGGAGCAGCAACCAACACGATGTGGCCAGAGGGCCTCCGCACTCCATAATCGGCCGAGCTCCTCTTCGTGGCTCAGACAACTCTGGTGAGAATGCATAAGCCGTGGGCTTACTCCGCTGCAGGATGGGACAGCCCGTGTCAACAGCGCGGGAGGCCCTGCAGCCGGACCTTGACCCCCGCCCCCGCGCCCGGTCACGAGACCCCGCCGAGGGGAGCAGGGCCGGGGGCGGGGACGTGCCCGCTCTGCCAGCTGATTGGCTGGCGGGTGCGCGCTGCGGGGCAGAATGTAGGGGCTCCCCAGCAGCTCGGACCGCTCCGCCCGCCCCTCCCTCGGCCCCCCGTAATCGCAGTGGGGGGTCCGCTTCCCAGCTCGCGGTCCCCGCGCCCACCTCGCTCCCCGGCTTCCCGGGGACCCGAGTTTGTAGACCCTTTGGAAGGGGCCCGGGTGCCCTTCTCGGGGCCCTGCAGGACGGCAGCGGGGGTCCTGGGCTTCGGCTCCGGACGGTGGGGATCGGGATGGTTTTCGTGCAGATCCGAGAGGCCAAGGAGGGAGACTGCGGAAACATTCTGAGGATGATTCGGGTGAAGTCTGCGAGCCAGAAGCCGGGGTCTCCGAGGGGATCCAGCGTCGGGCTGGAGGGGCGGAGAGGGTGCGGAGGAGGTGGGAGAGGTCTGTGAGGAAGGGGGGGAGGAAGCGGGAGTTGGGGGTGCAGGTGGAAGCGGGGATGGGATGGGTGGGGTGGATAGGGTGGGTGGAAGGGGGGCACAGGGGATTGGGGAGACGGGAGGAGCGCGCCCTGGGGTCTTCTGCGCTAATCTGCTCTTTGTCCCCGCGCCTTAGGAGCTAGCTGAGTTTGAGAAACTCTCGGATCAGGTGAAGATCGGTGAAGAAGGTTGGGGCTCAGCACCCGGGTCCTGACGGAGGCTGGGAGGAGGTGAGGGGTGGGCTCCCTGGGCGTTAGCTCCAGGCCGGGCACACACCCAGGCCCCCTCTCTCTCTTTGTCGCCATCACGCTGATCGGTGCAGACCTGAGGGCAGATGGCTTCGGAGAGAACCCTTTCTATCACTGTTTGGTAGCAGAGAGCCTGCCCGGGCCCGGGGAATCACAGGGTAAGAACACACCTCCACCTCAGAGGGCTCCTCTCCAGCCAGCCTCAGGGGTGTCTCCTGTGGCACCAGCGCCCTGACCTCTCTGCGCGCTCTCTTTTTCAGAGCCCTGTGTGGTGGGCTATGGGCTCTACTACTTCATCTACAGCACGTGGAAGGGGCGCAACGTTTACCTGGAGGACATCTATGTCAAGCCGGAATACCAGGGTACGGGCCGAGGCCCGGGCTGGGGCGGGGGGAAAGCAAACCCATAGACCTGACCACCATCCAACCCCAACCTATAGCCTTTTCTGATCCCCTTCAACTCACACAGTCCCTCTTTTGTCTTCTTCCTTCCGTAACAGGTCAGGGGATTGGTTCCAAGATAATCAAAAAGGTGGCCGAGGTGAGGTGGAGGGGGGGGGGGGCTACAGGCCGGGGGGCCCCCCGCTTGCACGGAGCGTGAGAAAGCCGTTCCCAGGAGAGCCAAGGATGTCTTTTCCCACAGGTGGCCGTGGACAAGGGCTGCTCCCAGTTCCGCCTGTCAGTGCTGGACTGGAACAAGAGGGCCATGGACTTGTACAAGGCCCTGGGAGCCCAGGATCTGACTGAAGCTGAGGGCTGGCACTCCTTCCGCTTCGAAGGAGAAGTGATGAGGAAGTTGGCGGGAAAGTGACTTCATCCCCTGAGGATCTGGCTCTATTTGAGCCCCCCGCCCTCCCCGTTCAAGCACTCTGAGAGTATCTCCACTGCCAAAGGCCTTCCTGGAGGAAAGGAGAGTTAGGGGCGAATCTTCCTGAAGCACATAAAGAGCCAGACTTGAGGGAAAGGTCTTCCCACCCTTTACTGAGGCTGACAAATAAAAATGATGATTATATATCTTGATGCATTGAATAGAGGAGTTGTTGACGTGATGTGTTTCAGCCCCTTGATGACCTTTCCTCGGCCTTCTGGTTGGTGGATGAGGCTCCTGGGTGTAAAAGTGGGACCAAGAGGACGTTCACCGTCAGCAGGCCAGATTTCTTGGCCCTGGGCCTGTGGGATATAGAGGAAAGAAGAGACAGGGGCCAGCTTGGCATATCGGGCTTCTTGGTCACATTGGGGACCCAGACAAAGGCCTCCAACGTCTGGATGAGTTGCGAGATCCAAGCTTGAGGCAGGTCCAGGGAGCAGGCTGCCACCTGGTGGTAGCATTTCAGGGGCGCTGGGAAGGCCCACGTCCCCTGACTGAATTTTGTTTATTTATTTGTTTAGAGTAGGGGTGTCGAACTCAATCAGAGAAGGGGCCAAAATCTAAAATCCAGCCTAAATTGCGGGCCAAATGGTTTACTGAACAGTCATAAACTGTCATTGTGATGGAAACGCAGCGGAGTGCAGTGATGACAGCGCGGTGCGGGCCACATTGCAAGGCCTGGCGGGACGGATTTGGCCCGCGGGCCTTGTGTTTGACACATGTGGTTTAGAGGAAGAGAGAAACATCCATTGTTCTACTTATTTATGCATTCATTGATTGATGGTTGTATGTGCCCTGACTGGGGATCGAGCTTGCTATCTTGATATATTGTTCTAACCGATTGAAGTACCCGGCGGCCAGTTGTCCTAAAATTTAAACGTTAACTTCGCTAGCTAGTGCTCTTTCTTTTTCAAAAGTCACAAAGCGCCTGGCCGGAGTAGCTCCGTTGGTTGGAGGGTCATCCTGAGCACCTAAAGGTTGCCTATTCGATTCCCTGGTCAGGGCACGTATCTGAGTTTCGGTTTGATTCCTGGTCTGAGAGTGTTCGGAGGACAGCCAATCAATGTTCTTGCTCTCCCTTTCTCTAGGCATGTCCTCAGATGAGGATTAGAGGAGGGGAAAAGTCACAAAGCTTTATTTTCAGTTTAGCAAAATCAAAACAAGCCTTTAGGATTCATAGTGGGGAATAAATGGGCTCATATCCTACTTTCATAATATTGTATTACACAAGTAATGTAGGTTTGTTGTAGAAAAATTGGAATGTAAATATAAAATAATAGAATCCATATTCGAACGTACCTAACTCTATTAGCCCTTTGGTATCAATTCTTCAGATTAAAAACAATTTTATTATTATTTGAGAAGAGAGAGAGAAAGGAGAGAGAGGGGGAATGAAGCTCGATTTGTTGTGTCACTTATTTATGAATTTATTGGTTGCTTCTTGTATGTGTCCTACCTGGGATCTGAACCTGCCTTGTCCTATCAGGGTGATGATTTGCCAACCAAGCTACCTGCCAGATTTTTATTTTATATATATATATATATATATATAAAATTGATTTTGTACAGAGAGGAAGGAAGAGAGATAGGGAGTTAGAAACACCAAGGAGAGTCATCGATCAGCTGCCTCCTGCACACCCCCTACTGGGGATATGCCCGCAACCAAGGTACATGCTCTTGACCAGAATCGAACCCAGGTCCCTTCAGTCCCCAAGTCGACGCTCTATCCATTGAGCCAAACCGGTCTCGGCAGATTTTTAAAAATGTACATATATACAACCCTAAAAGGTTTGGCTCAGTGGATGGAGAATTGGCCTGTGGACCAAAGGGTCCCAGGTTCAATTCCAGTCAAGGGCACATACCTCAGTTGCAAGCTCTTCCCCAGCCCCCTGATCACAGAACATGGAGGCAACCAATATGTTTCTCTTGTATCAATATTTCTCTGTTTTTCCCTCTCTTCCACTCTCTCTAAAAATCAATAGAAAAATACCTTCGGGTGAACATTAATATATAATTAAGTGTGTAGGAATTCAGGAGAACATACTCTTTTTGCAAACTTTTTTCATTTAATATATTAGGAGCATCTTCCCATGCTATTATACATCCATCATCACTTTCCACAGTGGCATGTTATTCTCTTCATGGATGAGCAGTCGGTTAAATGGTCATAATTTAGACACTGAAAGGAACAAGCAGATCACATAAATGTGTAAATTGTAAGAAACCGAATCTGTCGAGAGAGTTGGATAGATAGGTAGATACACCAATCCATCTTTAAAAACTCAAATGAGCCGAAACCAGATTGGCTCAGTGGATAGAGCATTGGCCTGCGGACTGAAGGGTCCCGGGTTCAATTCCGGTCGGGGGCATGTACCTTGGTTGCAGGCACATCCCCAGTGGGGGGTGTGCAGGAGGCAGCTGATAGATGATTCTCTCATCGATGTTTCTAACTCTCTATCCCTCTCTCTTCCTCTCTGTAAAAAAAAAAAAAAAAAAAAGATATATTTTTTAAAAATTCAAATGAGCCCTAGCTGGTTTGGCTCAGTGGATAAAGCATTGGCCTGTGGACTGAAGGGTCCCAGGTTCGATTCCCAGTCAAGGGCATGTAACCTGGGTTGTGAGCTTGATCCCTAGCAGGGGGCATGCTGGAGGCAACTAATCAATTCTCTCTCATCTTTGATGTTTCTTTTTCCCTCTCCCTTCCTCTCTGAAATCAGTAAAATGAAAAAAAAAATTGAATAAAAAAATACAGTTTAGCTCTAGTTGGTTTGGTTCAGTGGATAGAACATTGCCCTGCGGACTGAAGAGTCCCAGGTTCAATTCTTGTCAGGGGCAGGGGCACATGCTGGTTGTGGGCGCAATCCTCAGAGGGGCCATGCAGGAGGCAGCTGATTAATGATTCTCTCTTCATTGATGCTTCTATTTCTTTTTAAAAAATATATATTTTATTGATTTTTTGTACAGAGAGGAAGGGAGAGAAATAGTTAGAAACATCAATGAGATAGAGAGTCATCAATCAGCTGCCTCTTGCACACCCTCACTGGGGATATACCCGCAACCAAGGTACATGCCCTTGATCGGAATCGAACCTGGGGCCCTTCAGTCCCCAAGCCGACGCTCTATCCATTGAGCCAAACCGGTCCTGGCTGATGCTCCTATTTCTCTTTCCCTTTCCCTTTTCAGTGGATAGAGTGTCAGTCATGGGTTCATCCCTGGGTCTGGATGTTTCTGTCTCTCCCTCTCCCTTTCACTCTAAAAATCAATGGAAAAGAACATCCTCGGTGAGGATTCACAAGAACAAAAATATGATTCAGTCAAAGAGAACACTTCAAGGTCCCCAATTTTTAAAATATATATATTTTATTGATTTTTTTACGGAGAGGACAAGAGAGGGACAGAGAGTTAGAAACATCAATCAGCTGCCTCTTGCATACCCCCTACTGGGGATGTGCCCACAACCAAGGTACATGCCCCTGACCGGAATCAAACCTGGGACCTTTTAGTCCGCAGGCTGACGCTTTATCCACTGAGCCAAACTGGTTTCAGCCATTATCAATTCTTTTTTTTCAAATTTTTATTTTAAGGTTTTTATTTTTATTTTTTAAAATAAATCTTTATTATTCAGATTATTACAGTTGTTCCTCTTTTTCCCTCCATTGCTCCGTTCCACCAGGTTCCTACCCCACCCTCTGTTCTTGTTGACTCTACTGCAAATTCTACAGGCTCAAGTCAACCTGTGCCCCTCATCCATGTAGGTCCTCAGCATTTTTCTCACCTACAATGGCTCCTTACAGATCTCACCACCTTCAGGAGCACTCTTTCTCTTCAGTCTGTCTTCCACAGTTATAAAATGTATGTGGCTTAAAACCTTTCAGTGGCTCTCCATTACTGAGAAAGTAAAAGTCATTCTTCATAAACTGATCTGAAATCCTTCACAATCGAACTTTTTGCAGCTCCTTAGTTTAAGCCAATACTATTTGAATTAGTTGCCATTCCCCAAAGGACAGGCTCCTTCTGCTTCTCTGCACCAGTGTAGTCCTTGTTTCCTCCACAATATTCTTACAGTGCTTCTTCTCTGACAAACTCCAACCGAACCATCAACTCAATCTGCATCACCTCCTGGGCAGTGGTCTCCCCAGATCACTCTGAATCACAATGACCTTGGTCTCCTTGGGATTCCTTCTATACTGAGTCTTTATTCTCCATCACCTCCCCCATATATAAATTCCTTGAGATCAGGGACCACACCTTGTCTTTGTATCCCTAGCATTTAGCAGTGATTGGAACACAATATGAGCTTAATAAACATTTGGTAAGTGATTAAATGCACAACACGATTCTAATTTCTGTGCTATTTTATTAACTTTTATCTCAATTTCCTAACTCAAGGATCGGAAATGTTCTCTCTTATTTCATGACAATGCTTTCTATTTTGAAGTTCCTCAGCATTTAAACTTATCACATCTTGTACTGAGCTAGGTGGCAATCGCTTTTCGGGTTTGTTTTGAAATTATTTAACTTTTTTTAAAAAAATATATTTTATTGATTTTTTTACAGAGAGGAAGGGAGAGAGATAGAGAGCCAGAAACGTCCTGGGAGAGTAACATCGATCAGCTGCCTCTTGCACAACCCCCACCGGGGATGTGCCCGCAACCAAGGTACATGCCCCTGACCAGAATCGAACCCAGGACCCTTCAGTCCGCAGACCGACGCTCTACCACTGAGCCAAACCGGTTTCAGCAGAAATTACTTAACTTTTCATTACATGTAGGATCAGAATCTTCTCAAGGCAAGAACGTCGCTTGCACAGTTGTTTGAAACTCAAAAGAGTCGATATGTATGTAAAGCTCAGGGCATGCGCGTGGGACACTCATTTATTTATTTATTTTTTGCTTTTCGATTCCTCCTCTTTTTTTTTTTTCTTTTTTTTTTTCTTTGGAGCGTGCGCACCCAGGCAGACAAAGGTGGGGAAAGTGACCAAGCAGCCACTCCAACGCATGCGCATCCCTAATACATCCAAGCCTGCCTGTTGGAGCTCACAGGGAAGAAGGTGTGGTCTGGCCAGAGCAGCGGAAATCCAATCCAATTGAGCGAGCGTGGCCCCTCCCTCCCAGTGATTGGCT